AGTCAAGACTCACGCCCAGCTCCTTTGCTCCTTGAGGCAGAAAATCTCGCAAGCATCTCTTCCCCTCCCTAGCAGGAAAGATACAGTCGCAAGTGACGATTTGGCCTCCTTTCCTGGCACACAGAATCAGCTGCCTGAGATGGATTCCTCGCCTAATGATAGGGCTGGCCCTTCTGCTCCCGTAATATTATGCCCATTCTTTTCCTGCACTACAGCCATGCTTTCCAGAGTTGGAAGGAACCCCGCAGTGTCTTGGCAAGAATCTTTGTTGCAATCCCTCTTTTAGATATTATGTTGAGCACACTGAAGAGGCTCTGTTTTGACTGGGCGGGACCGCATTCCAGAAAAGCAGATATCCCCAAATCTGTGCCCTTCAAGTCCTTTCTGGCTCGGAGGACACGTTCTGAGTGCAATTTAATTGTCTCTGGCGGTTCTCTGGTACCCTTGTTTGGACTGTGTTTATGAAAGATGGTGTCATGGACACAAACGCATCTGCTTCCTGTTGTTTGGAACTGCTCAAGATCAAGTCACACTGAGAATTCGTTTTCTGTTAGAGAAAAGAAAAGCCTGGATATGACATATTGCTGGGTCTATTTTAGAGACATTGAGCAGGGTCTCGCTAAACGATTCATTTCCATGGGTACATGCCACCGCTGTTTATTTCAGGCAAGGGTTCCTTCCTTCCTTCCTTCTTTAAGAAATGTTCCCATGCTTTGAAAAAGTTCCCTTTCATTCATTCCGCGTAGTGAGAGAGTGTGAGCTGGCTGGAACACGTGTTTGCCATGCTTTCCCTCCCGGAAGGAACTGGAAAGGCATCACCTCTTGGGTCAAGATGGAGCCAGAGTGGCACTCCAGAGCGCTGGATGCTGCCTTGGGAAGACCAGGTTCTAGGCCCCGCCTGGCCATGAAGGTCACTGGGTGACTTGGGCCTATCCTTGAATCTCAAGTCTAACTCACCTCAACACGGGGCTGTTGTTGTGAGGATAAAATGGAATGGCGAAGGACTGTGTTAGCTACCTTGGGCTCCTTGCAAGAGGGAAAAAGTGGCGTACAAATGCAATGTATTAATGATGCTAATAATGATAATCCTTCCCAACAACAGTTCTGAGAAAATACTCTTTGAGAAAGCCTCTTTTTCGGTGTCCAAGCTGCACTTGTTTGGTTCATCTCTGTGTCCCATCTAAGCTACACACAATCAAGTCTTATTGAAATGAAAGGGGCTTACAAGTTTTCAGTGCGACTTCCGTGTCTAATGACACAATCTGGTGCATATTGAATAAGGCTTACCATGTCCAGAATTCTCCAGCCAAGTGTGCTAGGATCTGTAGGACTTTTTTGTCTAAGCATGTGCAGGATTCCACCCTAATTTTGGTTGGATTCCACACTTGGCTGCTGTTGGTGATTTATTTATTTATTATTGTTTATTTATTTAAAGTTTTTATATGTTGTCCCCTTGCTGCATAGCCTCGGAACGGCTTTCAGAAATAAATAAATACAAAATAATAACAATTACAATTAAAACCCGGAAACACACTGGCTGCACAATTAAAATCTATAAATATTAAAGATTATTAAAATACTGTTTGAATAAAAAGGTCTTGGCCTGGCGCCGAAAAACAAATAACGATGGCGCCAGGCGGCCCTCTCTGGGGAGCGCATTCCACAGATTTAGAAATGAAGATTCAACAACTGTTGATAGAATAGCTGTTGGTTCAGAATGGGATGTGGTTCAATGGTTAGAGTTTGGGGATGTGGTTACAATCGACCAATCCCATTTGGTTAGTTCGGTTGGAGACAAAGAAATCCTGCATTTCTGCAGAAAGGGCCAATGTTTTTAAATGTTCCAGAATGATAGGCGTTTATTTCTGTGGCTTCTGCTGCTGTTTTTCCTTTGTCGTCTCCTCCTTCTCCCCCATTGCCTTTTATTGGTGTGTGTTCGCTTTGTGCTGTTGTTGAAGGTTGTTGCGGCACATGCTTGTCACTGTAAGCTACCTGTGTGCATACACAATTTGGTTTTGCCCGACTCCGAGTGCTTGGCTGTATTTCTCTCTTTTTTCACAGCTGGCTAAGGCTGTGGGGCAGTTCATTTTTCTGATCTGCAACTTTATTAGCACATTTTGTGGCTGAAGTGAGAGAAGAGGGAGCAGTTAAAAACAGAATGCTGCAAGTACCTTGGAAAGAAAAATGGCCAAAAATTCCAGTTCTTATATGCCACAGTTCCCCTTGCTTTTTTCTGATACCACAAATACCTTGGACATAATTTTCTCTTGGGCATCAGCTAACCCCATCCGTCTTCCAGTGAAGCAGCCCAGTGCTTCTTCCCTCTTTCTTTGTAGTTCCTTTTCCCTTTGGTATTCCATCCATTAGACTTCTGGCATAGACTTGCTTGTCTTTTAATATCTGTACGGTGCGTAGAAAATACTAGCTGAGACATCCAAATCTTACCAATAATTTATTGCGAGTGCTTATCAGGATATTTACCCATCGCTTAATGGAATTTACTACCTGCTTTTCAATAGATAATAATCCCAAAGCAATCTATAAACAAGAGAACACAATAAGATCAGGCCAGCTTGAACACCCTGCTCTCCCTCTGTTAGGGGAGAACAATAACAGATAAATAACCATTTATTTGATGCAGCAAAAAATGGAAAGGAGAGGTGGAGGGGACTGGAAAAGGGCATGCACACACAGCCGGACTTCTCGTTGCTCTAAAAAGGTTGTGAGCATCTTGGATTGTGGCCACTGCAGCAGAAGATTCCTTCTGCATGAGAGCAAAAAGCTATGGCAGGCATCCTGGTGGGGAATGATGGGAGCTGTAGTCAACACATCTGGCAGCACAAGGTTGGGGGAGGTTGTACTCTGGCATCTTCCTGCCCACTGGCTAGATTTGTTGGTTAAAACCGGCAGAATCTTTCATCATCCGGAAGTTTTCCAAGATAGTTCAACAAGCATTTATAATACAAGTGGCACTTGGCCAAAGACGGCGCAGCTCGGAGTTTCTCAGCTTAGCATGACTTCACTTGTGGGCTTGCCCATTTTGAAGTCTCCTGCTTTTTGCATCTGGGGTATTTTGGCAGGCAAGTCAGTCTGAATGCATCCATAAAATATTTCTGAAAATAAACAGCAAAGGCACCAGTCCTTATGATGAAAGGTAGTGAAAATACAGACCTCCTTGGAACTTCGCAAGCCTTCGTTGATGGGAAACCTACAGAATTGCACCCTCTGGCCCTGAGGACCGACCTGTAAAGGGATCTGAAGAACAAAAGATTTCCTAAGCAATTAAATAGGATCAGCATTTAATCAATCAATATCATTGTGCATTTGCAGTGTGATTAGCACTGTGGGTGACAAATTCCTTTCCCTTCTCTAGCTGAAAGGGGAGGGCTGCATGAGAATATCATTTCAGTTGTAAAGCAATAGTGCTTCTATTTCAAGAAACATTTGTTGGATCCCAAATTCGCCACTATACTAGACAAATTTGCATATTTTAAAATGTGCACACTGAAATATTCATGTTTTGGAAATGCACTTGTCTTTTTATGCTCAGTCAATGTGGGAAAGGGGCAAAATTCTGCAAAGATCCTGTTGGAAATGTGCATTTTTCATGTTTGAATGAAGCAAAAGAAAAAAAGGGGAAAAAACAATGAGCCTAAACAAGCTTTGAACTGATTCTTAGAGAATCTTGAGAGTTGCAGGTTCTTCCATCCCTGCCTGGAAGTGGAGTTGCCGATGAGGAATAAGGGATGCCACCTGAGGGCTTTCTGAAGAAGGGGCGCCCTGCGCCTCTCGCTTGTTCTTGTGATGTGTCATCAAGTTGTCTCCAACCTGTGGCAACCTATGGAAAGCCCTTCAAAATCGCCTGCCCTTCACAGCTCTGTTCAGCCCTTCCAAGTTCAAGCTGCAACTTCCTTGATGGATTTTTTCCATCTCATGTTTGGTCTTCGCTTTCAAATTCTGCCTTCAACTCTCCCTATTACAATTGTCTTCTCCAGGGAATCTTGCTTTCTCATGATCTGTCTGAAGTAGGAGAGCCACAGATGCGTCATCTTGACTTCTAGCGAAAGCTCTGGCTGGATTTGATCTAGGACCTGCCTGTTCATCTTCTCTTGGTCCAAGATATTTGCAGCTCTCCTCAGCATCATGTTCCAGACACATCAGTTTTCTTCCTATCAGATTTCTTCATGGGTATTTAAAGGGTGGAGTCCTATTGCTCCGTGGCCAATGCTTGGAAGCCCCCAAACTCTGCCACCTGCCGCATCTCCACTTCTGCCACCCTAAATCTTCTTTGGATGTCTGTTTTCAGCCATGCAGTTTTAGCAGAGGGGAGGGAGAGGGAAGGCGGCTGGGACCCGCCGTGGCTCCAGGCTTTTCCCCTCCCTTCCCCTAGCATAGCCCTTTCCTCCACTCCACAGTCCAGTTGCGAGCTGTTTTTTCCACAGTGGCTGCAAGGTGCTGGGATGTACATTTGGACTTCTGAGCTGCAGCTCTGATGTGATAGGATCCGAGGAATCCTTTGGCCTCCCGGATGAAGCCAGGAGGCCACTGGATTGCATCTTCAGTAAAACTGTTATTATATGTATCTCTTCTTTGCACACACAGAAAAGAAAACCAACCCCCAAAGTGCTGTTTCAAGAACTCTTCATTGTGCACGGGAATGTGGAACACAGTGTAGTAATATTGGAACGCCACAAGCCTCGGTCCAACATGCATCCCTGAGAGAGAATGGCAGGGAAACTACCCACCAGGGGGCCAAGGGGAAATTATCCGTCTGGGGAGCCCCAGGGGCCAAGCTGGTCCCCTGGGATTATGGTTCTGTGTGTTTGATCCAAGGTATAACCCTACGAAGGCTCATTTCTATGTGCGTGGCCCCTGCCCAATGTGGACCAAGAGGGTGCTGTGCAGCTGGACGTCTGAAATGCTGTACTTTGTGACATCGTGTTTAATGAGTCTCCATACTTATCTACTGTCTCTTATACTCCCCCCTCCCTTCACCACAGGTGGCAAAAGTGGAATATGTTAGAAAAAAGCCAAAATTAAAAGAAGTCCTGGTGAAGCTAGAAGAGCACATTGAATGCACCTGTACATCGTCGAATTCTAATTCTAATTCAGATTTTCGAGAAGAAGAAGCTGGTATGTTGTGGGGTATCTCTTGTTCGATGATACTGAGAGATCTGGAAGGGATCGGGCCCTGGTGTTCTCCCCGGGGAGGTCATGGTCACAGTCACAACCCGCACTGAGATTGAGCGTGGCTGGCTGTGTGCGAAGAATCTGGTTTGGGCTGGAGATCTGTTGGATTTCTCTGGCTCAGCAACTTGGCCTGGACTCGGGCCTGCTCGGCCTCTGCCCCAAGCTTACGTACCTCGTGCTGAGGGCTCACGTGGGCGTCCGGCGGGAAGCAAGTGCAAGCGAGCCGGTGAAGCTGTGCAAGTGGAGTTCTCCTCCTGCACGTCTGACTTGCACACTTGCACTCTCTGTGCAAAGGAAGGCAAACAGGTGTGCTGGCCGTCCTGCTGTTGGTGGACTGGATCTTGGCTTGGCTCGCTTCCGGCAAGCACAAGAAAGTGGGGTTCTGACCAGATCTTCGCATCTCTATATGTGGGAGTGAAGATAATCATGAGGAAAATTTCATTATTATTACTACTTCTACTACTACATATTATTATGTAATAATTATTATATACCGGTGCAGCTAACAATAATAAAAAGTTGTTAATATTGGAAAAATATTTCTATTTTGGTGGGAAGAAAGATGGGCTATGTAAATCTTAGTATTTTATTTATTTTAAAATACTCGTGTCCCAGCTTTCTGATAAAAGGCAGCTCACAATCTTTATTTGAATGCATTCATGTAGAAGGCAGAGAAAATAACTTAAAACCCAGGAAGAACTCAAATTAACAGATTCGAGGGCCAAACGACCTAAACTGGGGTGGGTATTTTATGGCTCTCGAGATGGTTTAGCGTACAGCCTCCATTGGTCCTTTCAGGCTTAGCCAGTGATGAGGCATGATGGGAACTGTAGGCCAGAAAAATGTGAATTGGCATCAATGGCCCACCCCTTTGAGATCTATGTAGAACGATGGAATCCCATCTGAGTGCCAGAGTTCCTGTGTACATCTGGCTGTCCCTTGATCCAGGGACAGGTGAATGGGTGATGTTGTGGGCATCTCCCCTCACTGGGCCTCTAGATTTCCTCGCAAGTAGGGCTGGGTTGCAGCAGGAAAATGTGGCTTCTTTGTGCTTGGTGGACTTCCAAGCTGCCTCTGAAGTGAGGAGGAGAAGCAGGATGAATCAGGGGGTCGCTCCATCTCTTAAGGCAGGTTGCCATTCACACTTCTCAAAAACAACAACAGGAAAGACCTCCCAATGGATTTTGTCCAGAATAAGGAAACGTGTGCAAATCATACTTCTCAAAGGCACTGGCTCCTAGCAGGATGTGTTCAAAATGGGCCACGTTCTCGCAGGTCACACTGGGATCGCTTGCCATTCAGGATCTCCCCTTGTGCAAATCAGCTGATTTCGTGCAAGTCATGGCTGCGAGCACTTTCTCTCCAGGGTGCTCTCTGCACAGATCAGGTGCTTTCATCCCAATTTCTTTCCTGTGCAAAATGCAGCCTGGATCCCATAAGCTGTTTGGACTCCCCTTTTGGCGATTCCTTGCCAGTGCAGAATGAATCTGGGAGACCAAATCCATTGGATTTTCACCCACTTACCAGGTTTCTCACACATCCATGTGAGATTACCGCATCAGCACATCATGTGCTGGATGGAGTGTGGTTATTTCGCCAGTGAAATGAATACTGCTGGCAAAATGGGACCTCTCCACCTGGATGGTCCTCAGCATCCCCTCCGCATCATCTCCAGAGAGTTGGGAGACCTTCCAGAACAGAATTGGAGGGGCAGAATTGAAGGAGAGGATGGGAGGCCCCATGTGGCCAGTCGGGTCCATTCTGGTAGAGGACCAGATCTGTCCCCATGACGTAAAGAGAGAAATGAAGGCAGCGAATTGTGCATATGTGTCTGTGTCTTTTTCCCACCCACCTCCTCTGAGGCACAAATAAAGAAAAGATTTCTTTTTTGAAGTCAGTGAATACTTTGCCTTGGGGTGGGGGGGAACATTCTTTGTTTGGGTTTTTTGTTTTACACCAACCCTACCCTTATGTCAACAGGAAGGCCTAGGGAAAAAAGTAAAAAACGGAAACGAAAAAAGTTAAAACCCTCATAAAAACACTGCTGATGACCAGGTAGGAAAACTACCATTAATAGCACAAGCAATGAAAACCACAATCATCTATTACTGTTCTCATTACTGTTCTCCGAATCTTCATCCGTAGCTGTCCCAGGGCAGCCAAGAAATCGGACATGATTGGATTGGTTAATTCATGTTATTTTCCCCTTTAAATCTATAACCCATGACAGTAACATCCTATATTCTGGAACTGTTTTCCTTTTCTTTCTCTGTCAATATTTATACGTTTAGGGGAATAATATTTAAATTCCTGTATACTGCAGTTCCTTGCTGCTAATCTAATTCATATTGATTACTGAGGGTCAAAGCATTCTGTAGTAATTCCAGAATTGATAGGGTCTCTGTCTGTGCAAATACGTGACTTTAAAACAGTGAGGTATGTAAAATCAATCTTAGAAGGTGTGCTTTCCATTTTCGTTCAGCCCAACCATGTGCTGCCTACAAGAGCATCTCAAATATAAGGCAGGCCAAAAAGTGCGTATTTGTGCTTTGGAATTGGCACAAGTTTCACTAAGGGCTGCCACCTTAGATAGCTTTAAAAACACAGGAGACAATTCCATGGAGAAGTTGGAAGGGGCCAAGAAGGCCATCCAGTCCATTCATTTTACGCCAGCCTGGTCTCCATTTTGTGAGAGTGCCCATCACACTCTCAACCTGCTAGAATGTCTGTTGACCCCAAAAGGTCGAGGAGCTTTGCCTTAAATGTTGTAGCGGTGCCATGAGAATGAAGCATGACCAAGTCGCTTCGGTGCCCTTGGTACCAGATAATGGAAAGCCATCCAATAAGGCCACCTGTGACCTTCCGAACGTAGAAGGCCGCAGGCATCCACAGAAGGAGCATGGAGGCAAGATTTAGCTGGCTGTGTTCAGCCAGCTAAACGTTTTCTCCTTCCACACAAGGAATGGGGCCGAAGCTGGATGTGATGGAAGCTGGCAGTGCTTGGACCCTTCCTGTCCCCCCAGAACACCCCACAGGCCTCTCCTGAAGACGTTCCTCCATCTTCAGGACCTTGCTCAGGTGTGGAAAGACTTGGGCCCACTGAGTGGGTGCTGGAGTGGCCTACAGAAGATGGAATTCCAGTTGTGACCTTGGAGAAGCCATCCAAGGTCACAGAAGGGATTCCGCCTTTTCCTGTGGCTTGCAAGAATTAATCCACCAGCCATAGGATCGTGGCCTTCATGCTTTGGTCTGGGCTAACGGGAAATGGGGTCTCCTCCACAGCAACCCATCCTTTTCTAACCACAGAATTACAGGATATTGTTTGTCCTTTTTTTTTCCAGATGTAAGGTGAAAATAAGCTAGAAAATATTTCTCTCTGGGACATGGATGTACATTGTTTGTTACATTCCTGAACCTACTGTGTATGGTGCTTTATTGACTGTATTCTTCATTCATTCTCCTACGTGGGGGGAAAAAAAACTGGCTCAAAGAGAGAAAGAGAGAGAGAGAGAAACAGTCTTCATGAGAACAAAAGAGACAATGTACATTTGTTTAATATGACATCAAAGCAAGTATTGTAGCACTCAATGAAACAATACAAAGTTTCCCTGTTCTAAAAAGAAAACGAAAAAAGAAAAGACGGCATGAAAGGAGGATACCAAGAGCAACGTGACGAAAACAAGAAAAAGAACACTAAGTTAAGACCAGATTTCCTCTTAGAAGAGCAGTCAACGGTGCTTTCTTCTGTTTGTTTTTGTCAAGAAACCTGCTTGCATTCTTGATGAAGATGGATGGACACTCATGGAGTTTCGGCACCCACACAAAAAGAGCAGGAATGTATCAAATACCACAGCAGAGATTATAGAAACAGTGTGATTTTTGCTCAGTGGTGTTTTAAAGTCTATAAAAAAATCCTTCTGGGGCGCCTTAAGTGGATGTTTTGTTTTGTTTTTGGTTTTTTTTTACACCATAAAGTTATTATTAAGCTTTCTTTTTACTCTTTGCCTAGCCTTTTATTATCTCTTTGGACTACATTTACCAATAACCCATATAGAAGACCTGCTGTAGGGAGGATGTGACGGAGCACAGAGACAAATACGGAATTTCTCCTAGTGGGATGCAAACTAATGAAATGTATTAAAATAAAAATGGTATACCTATGCATAATTTTCTAAATGTTTCTTGGTTTATGTTCCCCCCACCCAACCCCATATTCATACCCATTTTTTAAAACAGTGATTTTCAAAGTCTTTCCAGGAGTTTCTGAGTAGGAAGAGCAGCAATGATGGAGAACCTTCACTGGATGATTATGTGTCCGCCGTGCTGATAAATTCCCACGGCAAAGGTAGACAGATCTCCAGGTGTTTGGACTTCAGCTCCCAGCAATCTTAGCCAGTTTAACCAGCTGGCAAGGGGTTCTGGGAGTTGAAGTCTAAAACATCTGGAAATCCAGCTTCTTCTTGCCCTGCCCTACAGGGTAATAACAAAGAGGTAGGGGAGATCAGAAAGGCATATTGGGCACTTTCTATTCTGTGCATTGGGTTGGCAAAGAGGATCCAGCCGCACTTTCTGTTGTTTTGGAGCGTGCCCCTTGCATTACCCAGAATTCCTTGCAACATGCAGCCATCCTAAGGAAAGGAAGGGGATGGGAAGCTTGAAAGACACTGTTTTAAAAACATCACAGAAGGCCACTGATGTGCATAAGCAAACCTAAGCTATGTGCAAGCAGGAAATAGCATTTTTAAAGAGACTTACACTGGTTGCCCACGAGTGCTACCACGGTAGCAATGGCTGTTCCACGTCATAAATAACCCCCTTTGGCAATTTCACACCTTCAAGCTATGTGAGATGTAAAAACTCTTCTTGTTATCGGTATTGTATGATGTCACTGTGGCATGGGGTAACCCTGCCAGAAAGCCTAAAATTCTTTATTTTTGGTATTAAAAAAAAGTTATGCTTTATGTGTATTCAACAAAATAAGTGTTCTTCTTCTTTTTTTGTAAAGGTGACGTTTGTATTTTTTATCTAAAATTAATGGTTTTATATACCCAAGAAACCTGTTATGTTTTCTTGAACCAAAAAAAGGAAAGATGGAAGAAGCAGTGGGTGGCATTTGGGAATGCATTAAAGGAGTTATTTTTCTAGCCATGAGAGCCCTTATCTCTCTCTATCACACACACACACACACACACACACACACACACACACAATATAGCAGGGCAGGCGAAATGATGCAAGTCCCATCTTCCATATTTTTAAAGGATGTGTTTTACCAATTCACCTTTCTACTTGATAGTCCCACTTGGGCACTTTGAAGGAAGTTGACATGCATGTGTTGCCTGACACATAATGGAGTTCCGTTCATCATGGGTGGGAATGTTTCTAGTCCATATGGAGTTCAATGCATATTTAAGAACCTGTAGGAACAGACTGGTGCCTTCCCCGTAATTTTGGCTCAAATCACCTCATGCAATACATCATGTCCTCTTTGAAAAGATAGGACTATGCAAATAACAACAGCAACAACAGTAATTATTATTATTTTCCTCTGCCTTTTTTTCTGCTCCATGATATCCTCACAGCAAACCCGTGAAGCAGGTGAGGGTTCATGAGTGCCTCAAAGTCCCCCAAGGAGCTTTATGGCCCAAGTGGGGACTCGAACCCGGATCTTCTCAGCCCCAGTCCGATACACTCCTCACTACACGACACAGATGGGCAGCCTGCCTCCATCCCTTGGCCTTCACTAGGCTCCTTTTGGGGTTGCTCCCCAAACACTCTGGGCAAAGTGCCTGTGTCAGGCTAGACTAAACCAAAGCGCAAAATTCGCTCTGGCATCACGAGGGTGTGGAGACACGTTTTGTGGGTTCTGGATTTACGGCAAAGGCCTGCCCCTACATGCTGCACCAGCAGGGACTAGAATCTTGGGCTCCAGCAGGGCCCAAATTTGGCCCTCCTGTGTGCCTCCTCTAGCTGTCGGGGATTCCCTCGGGGACACCTCTGCTCTTCCTTGTCCACCTTTTCACCCTGACTGTCTGGTGGCTGCCCAGATGTTTGCCTGTTCTCTGCCATTGCTTAGTTCCTGGTGGCAAGAACCTTAAGCTAACAACTGCTGGGACTGGGGGGCATTTGCCCCTTCGTCCTTTTGCCTTGACCACCCATCCACCAAAATGCAGGCCCTGGGAACTTCCCCAAAATGGCTGCCGCAGTCTTTGCGCCGAAAGAGGGTTGATTCCCCAGCAGAGTCCATGAGCCACCCTCTTGGTCCAACTTGCTCACTCGTTATGTTACTCTGCCAAAATTAGGGGGAGCTATGGTGATGGTGGAGATGGCTGCCAAGTTGGACAGCTGTGTAACCTGCAGTACCTGATCCTGACTAATCTTGGAAGCTAAGCGGGATCCGGCCTGGTTAGAATCTGGATGGGAGACTGGAGTCCTGCAGTGAGCAGGGGGTTGGGCCCAGTGGCCGCCCAGGCCCCTCCCAAGCGTGCGATCCTAAAAGGTGCATGGAGAAGAAGGGAACCCCCTGACTCCTAGTTGTGATGGCAGGATGCACGCATGTCAGGCTGCTACTTTCTCATGGGTGCCTGGCCCAATCCGCCAATGCTTTTCTTAAGTTCTTCCATGTGCATGCTCAGCCCTGGAATTTATTTTCTTGACTTTGATAACCAAGTCTTGCATCAGTGCAGACTGGATTGTGAGATCGGGCATCGTGGTCATCGTTGACATCATCATCCTGTTTGGGAGCATTTGGTCTCTTCTTGTCAAATATGGAGGTGGAACCTTTGCTATGCCAAGCATTTGAAATCTCTGACAAAAGTCCAGACAAAACCCTTTTTGTAGGATGACTCCATTTACTATTTCATAAGAACCAGACACTTGCTTTAAGAAATGGGAGAGATTTATTTTTTTAATATGGTGGTGCACTCCAGATACACAAATCTGTGACTTCAAAAGTTGCAGGATAGTATTCATAGCCCAAGTAGAAGGCCCCGCACGTCATAAATTCATAATATGGTAAGCAGTGCATGATGAATTCAAATAGCAAGGAGCTTGGAATAAATGCAACTGTCCGTATCATTTCCCCTTTTCACCTCCCCACTACTTTTTTGGGCTATTTATTTATTTCATTCCATTTCTATGCCACCCCATAATCTGAAGTTTCTCTGGGCAGCTTACAAATGCCGTTATATCAGTCCAGAGAACTAAAACTCCTAAGTTATTTACGGAACGGTCTCCAAACAGCCTCATTTCCCTCATCTCTGAACCAAGAAGCCTCCACTGAAGAAAATGTTTCTGTCCTCAGTTTGTGTGTTGATTGTGGATGTTCTTTTCTGCACTTCATGTTGGAAGATCTGATTTTCAGAGTAAAACCTGCACCAAAGAAAGAACGAAAAAATACCTCCTTCCCTTCCTCTGATGTCAGCACGGAGGGCTTGCTTTTGATTTCTGCTTGGCCAAACTTCCCTGGATTTGGTGATTAACTTTGGTGGGTTTTTCTACCTCTTTCTTTTTCCACTTCCACCCTGTCCTACCTTTGCAACTTGACCTTAACAAAAGCAAGTGGATGGAAAGAAGGGGTGTTCTTGGCAAGGGGAGTTCAGGTTTTAAAGCAGGAGGTCAGAACATTATCCCGATGGGTAAATCTAGCTTTCTGGAGTCACCAATAGGTCGTGTCCTTTCCTCTTATCTGACCACCTTCATTGATCATTTGACATTTTTTGGCCATTTCTTCCCATTCAAAAGGTTGGGATATCGCGAATAAAAGCTTAAAAGTGAGATTATACCAGTATTCTGGTTTCTCACATTTTGCCTTCTGAACTGAAGACCCCAAGAGAGATTCTTTGTGGTGGATTTTGACACTATGTCTGACCGAAGTCCTGGATGCCAACTTTGAAGTCCGAATCCTGTTCATTGGAAAATATCCCAGAACCAGGGGGCGTCTATGCGGGGGTGTTTTAAGAAAATGGTCTGTGCTTGTGTTTCACTGAGTGTAACAGTCTCACAATATCACTCACACGAATGTTATCCATCTACCTGAGCAAGAAAAAATGCATAAAATTAATTTATATTTATGTCCTAGTGGGATGACAAGGATTTTGCTTTGATCTTGACTCTCCTTTTGACCCCATTTGAAAAGAATCTTACATATTTCACAGTTCGATTAAAAAGCATGCAGATGTGGGGTGTAGCGGGGAGAGAAAAAGCGGAAGAGCAGTTGATGTTCCTCAAGTGGTCTAAACTTTTCAAGCTTGCCTGTGATTCCATTGCATTATCATGAAGGGCATGCTATCGGGTAGTCACAACAACCCAACCGGAGTATGGAAAGAAGGGTGGCTATTTTATCTGTCAGAATGGAAGCAGTAGTCCATCTGTCCATATGGGGAGCACCAGCAAGGAGTGGGTCACCCCTGCCACCCCGGTTTTGGGGGGACCATCTCTGTAAGAATGGGTGAGACTGCAATCTTTATTATTTTATTTATTAAAAGCTTTTCTAACCTGTCCAGTGGAGATGTCTCAGGACGGTGTACAAAAATGAGTGGAATAAAACAAGTGCAGAACATCTGACCATTAATACTAAACCCCCGTTAAAATCAATTAAACATTAAAATAGTGGGAAAATAACAAGGTTTTTGCCGGATGCTGAAAAGACTATAGCATCAGCGCCAGGCGAAGCTCTCCGGGGAGTGTATTCCATAGCCAGGTGTGAATCTAGAGGGTGGCTCTAATGGATTTTCATGATTTGAACCTCTGGGTTCTGTTGTATGTTAGGACCAGTTTCCCCTTCTGTTTTCAAACTTCCAAGGCAACAGAAGCCTCTGTGCAAAGTAGCTCTATATTTCCAGTTCACAAATAGCAAGCTACGGCTACTAGAAGACTAGTCTCTAAGCATGGGGTGATTTGTTGAAGCCAAACTAGAAACTACTTCCGAAAACCCTCCTTTTCAGTCACGCAGGGGTCCATCCCTCCGGGTGGGTCCCTCTGGGGAAGGGCTCAGCTCCTGGATCCATGCAGGCCCTCTGAGTATCACTTATCCTGCAGTCAGGGATCAGACGGAAAGGATTAGTCTCCCTCCTCTCCTTTATCCCTCTTTTCTCATCCAAACCCTGTCTCTTCCCAGGGTCTGTTTGAGCACTGGGATGATGGCCCTGAGACAACCATGCCCTCCTTTGCTCTCTGCATTGCACACGCCCCACTTCCCGGCTTCGTCCGAAGAGTCAGCGCAACCCTGATCTGGGAAAGCAGGTGGGGTTGGTTATGGCCTCGTCCATTCCCAGCCACGTGGCAACCCTGTGCTGGAGCTGATCCATCATGACCTGGGGGCTTTTCGTCCTCCTCTTGGCTCATTGTGTAAATTGGAAGCCCGAACCTGTGCAGTTCTAGGAGGACTTTTGCAAAACACGCCGGAACAATGCCATTTCCAGCCTCACAACTGCACGAGTCACACCAGCCGCATGAATTGTGTGAGACAATGGCAAAAAGTCTATGCAAATAGTAAGATCTGCATGAATTTTCTCAGGATTCAGTCCCCTTTCACCGAAATAAGAGGCTGCAAGCCATCTGGTCGCACAATCTGATATTTGTGTGCTCAGTTTTTTTCCACCTCCCAGCAACAGCCCCTAACATGCAATGAACAGTTTGGACCCCTGCTGAATGGGGTGAACTATGGTGCAGAGGGACAATAGCTGAATTCCCCCAAAATCACAGGCATTCATTAAGCACAGTCTGCCTGTCTCCTGAAGCTTGTAGGAATGGGCAAATCTATCAGTTTTAGTCTCTTCAGGTTTCACCCACGTTTTCATTTTTCTAATCTTAAACTAGATTTGTCCTGAACATTGGGACATTTTTCTTCAGCGCTTTCATGAAAATCCACACTCGCTTTGTGCTTGTGCATTTGTCATAATGCAATCCCAGTTTGCCACAGTTTCATTTGGAGAGCTCCATTGCAAAATTCCGAGGAGTGTGCATTTCTCAGGATGAACGTGTTCCAGTTTGCAGACGGGTTCAACATTAGGCACGCCTGCACTGACTGGCAGCCAAACCGGTCTCCCCCA